GGCAGGAAGGCGTGTTGAGTGAGCCGGTTCACATGAGGTCATGTCTTCTGCTTCCCTAAAGCTCTTGGGCAGCTTCTAGGCCTTGTGATATCAGTTTCTCTGGGAAAATGAGTAGTTTGAGACTCTGCTTATAAGTGGAAGGGAGGGAGCACAGTGGTTAAAAAAAAGGTGAAGGACATTCTTGGAAGTGGCGTGGGAAGAGAAAGAGGAAGTGGTTCGTTTTTCCTACATGCAGCAGCTCCAGCACACTGCTACCTGCCAGGGCCTGGGAGCAGTGGCCCTGCTTTCCCTCTCTCCGTCTTTGTACTGTCTGAATACAGGGTGGCAAGGGCAGGGCTAGGGGTAAGTATTGTGCTGCAGTAATGGACAGACCACCTGACTCCAGGCGGGTCAGGCAAGCACACTAAAATGATATGAGAGCTGTGGAAGTCAGAAGCACAGGTCACAGCATTCCTGGCAGGAGCAGCTTAGGCCAAGGCCCAGGTCTAAGACAGGACAAAGGCCTGGGCTCCACAGCTGAAGGAGCCTAGACCCATGAGAAGGTGGGGTGTTGGGAGGATGGGGCAGGGAGTGGGGTGAGTAAACTGAGGCTAGATCATAACGAACCTTGTATTGTCTGAGGCTTGCCTATCCCTTCTTTTTAACAGGTATTTGCTTTAGGGTATGTGCACTCACCAGAGAGAGAGACCGAGACAATGAGAGGGAAAGTGAGAAATTAAACCCCCGGGGGATGGCCAGGCCACAGTCCCTTCTCCATTCTCTTCCCAGGAGAATGCATGTGTTGGGCACATACGCACATGCGCCCAGTGTGAGTTCAAGCCACTGGGTCTGAGACTCAAACCATGGTCAGCCATGTGGGAGTGCAGCGACATAACCACTATACCCTCTGCTGGCCTAAGAGCCTCATCAGGAGCTGATGATCTTAGGGTCTAGGGTAAATCCAGGAAGGATCCATCACACCAGATTTTTCTTTTTCTGTTTGGGTAGGGTTGCTGGGCTGTCGATGAGAGTGATGTGTCCAATACGTGGTGGGCAAAAAGTTGTGGGTAGGGTGGTAGTCCAGTTCAGCAGCTTCGGAGCTGGCCTCGTGTTCTCTGACTTTAATGAGCAGTATCTTGTCTAGACAGTCGTTCCTGGTATCACCCCCAGGCCTGCCCAGTGAGATGTTTTTATCAGTGGCTTAGATGAGAATACTGATGGCGTGTGAACCAGGTTTACAGATAACAGGAAGGCTGGAGTAAACTCAAACTTTGTTACAAGAATCCAAACTAGAATAGAGTGTCCTATAAGGTAATGAGCAACCTGTCCCAGGATGCATTCCAGTCTTGGCACTCAGGCAGGCTCTCTCTGTCAAGGGTCAAAAACTAAATATTTCAGGCTTTGCTGGCCATACTGTCTCTGGCAACTCAACTCTGCCTAGCATGAAAGCAGCCAGAGACATTAAGTTAAAGAAAGGATGTGGCTGTGTTCCCATTAAACTTGGTCTGCAGAAACAGGCATCTTCCTAGGTTTGACCTGTGGGTTATAGCTTGCCAACCCCTGAATGGTTTCCAGACTCTGATCCACCAAGCAATCCTGGTCAGTAACCCAAGTTTCACCAACTCATAGTGAAATTAAAAAAATCGGGGCAGTATAGTAAGTTTTATATAAAACTAAACTTATTCTCTTTATATGATTATGCTGAATTTAGAATTCTTTCCTGTTTCTTTGCTTCTTTATAAAAATGAGGTGGGGAAAAAAGAACAAAATATATAAGAAACAAGAAATGGAAAACTGTTTGTTGACAGTAACATGAATGGTAATATCCTTGATTGAGCCAATATACATTATATTCTGGGTGGAAAATCTTAGTTTGTATTCTGTATTGATGTACAGTGAATGAATGTAAATGGATAAAATGAGGTGATAACTGGGGCCAGCAGGTGGCATAGTGGTTATGTTGCTGGACTCCCACATGGCCGACACAGTTCGAGTCCTAGACCTGGTGAAAATCATGTCAGGCACATTGTATGCATGTCCAAGATCCCTGGAGGGGCACGGAGGAGAAGGGATTGTGAGAATTCACCGCTAAATGAGTCCCTCACTCTCTCTCTTCCTAGTGAGCGCACATACCCTAAGGCAAAAACCTCTTAAAAAAAAAAAAAAAAAAAAAGAGGTGATATCAGGGTGGTGGATTTGGGGTTGGCCTTCGCTTTTTTTATGAATAGCTCTACTGAAAACGCATTCTACACACATCCTGTCAGAAATGTGATAAGCCTAGGCAGAGCAGGTGTCTAGAACCACAGCGCAAGCCCGGAAGGTATAAACGGAGCTCTTTCTCTCTCTACTTCCTGGGCCTGCTGACAGCGGTCATTGGGGCTGGAATCGGAGGCTCTGCCGTGGCCCATTTCCTCCAGCAGCACTTTGGACCTCGGGTGCAGATCGACGTGTATGAGAAGGGGACTGTGGGTGGCCGCCTGGCTACCATCTCCGTCAACAAGCAACACTACGAGAGCGGGGCCGCCTCCTTTCACTCCCTGAGTCTGCACATGCAGGATTTCGTCAAGCTGCTAGGTGAGTACACAGTCCTGAGGGCCCAGGGTCTGGGCTGGTGGCAGCCATCTGGTCATTCCCAGGTTGCCCAGACTTCCGAGCCTGGAAGGTCATGTAGCCCCATCTCCTCATTTTACAGATGGAGCAGCTGAGACCAGAGAGGGGAAGGAACTTGCCTGAGGTTACACAGTGAGTTAGTTGCAGAGCCGGGATTAGAACTCAGGTTTGATTCCCAGGCTAGTTTCCTTCCCTTTCAATGTGCTATCTCTTAGTAATCATGATTATATCAACTTTCACAGCCTGGTGCTTGCCAGGTACCGGGCACCCTTCGAGGTGGTATGTAAGCATTATCTCAAATCCTCCCCACCAGCTTGCTAAACAGGTGTTATATCAGTATTTTCTTTTACAGAAACTGAGGCTCAGAAAATGTAAATACTTTGACTAGAGCCATATAGCTAATGAATGAGAGAGCTGGGGTTTGAACCCATAGCATCTGTCAAAACCACAAATACACATACTGTGTGATGCAGGAATTCTTCTCAGAAGCGAGCCTGGAAGCAGTCTTGCAGATGCCCTGGATGACACACGTACGAGATCATTCACTACAGAGCTATTTGTGATAGCAAAAGCTTGAAATACCCAGCTGGAACACCTCTGAAATTCTAGGATAAATAAATCATTGTTTCAGCACCAGCCTCAACAAGGATGCCCTTTATGCCCAGAGAACCATCTCCAAGACACAGCACGTCATTAAGGTGCAGAGTGGCATCTGCAGGGTCGTTGGAAAAGTCACAAAGTGTTTGGCCTAGGAAATATAGAAAAACACATCGTGACGTTTCTCATGACCCAATATACTACAGCATGTGGAAATGGAGGGAGGAGTAAGTCATAGACAATACGTACTTATGAACATGTGCACAAAGTATCTCTTTTAGGATGCTGAAGAAATGTACTTACTGCTTGCCTCTGGATAGGTGATCTTTGGGGGTCAATAGGTTGCGTGTTGGTTAAAGGCACGGGACTCCTACATGGCCAACCACAGTTGCTTTCTCACTCTCCCCACCTTCTCTCTCTGTCTCTCTCAAACTGGAAGATAATAATAATAAATAACATTAAATAAAATAATTCTTTCATAAAAAATAGGAAATCTCTGTGACTTAGGGACAAGAGTGGCAGAGAAACAAACAAAAAGGCCTGCGAATTTGGGCAGGTGCTATTATCTCTAAGCCTCGGTTTCCCCATCCTTAATGGGAGAGCTAACAGCTGTCCTGTCTCTTCCCAGGCTGTTAGGGAGTGAAATGAGATGACAGAGCCCCACTGCTCTGTAAGTTGTAGTCCTAGGCAGCTGGAAGGAGCTGTGTAGCTTACATGTAGTCTTGGTGCCCAGGGCCCCGTCCCTGCAGCTGGCAGCTCTTGGATATTCTGGGATGGAGTCAGTCTCATTCATAGCTCAGTGGGTCCCTATTGAAAAATAAATAAATAAATGAAGTGGTCCATTATTTTCATAGTGGCCATATTTCCTTTACTAGAGCCAGTCCATTCGCATCAGGAAGCCCTGAATTTAAGCTGAAGGCACTGCCAGGTCTTCAGGGAAGCTCCTTGAAGGGGACTTAAGGGGCTCCTCCTCTCTGTAGGGCTGAGGCACCGGCGCGAGGTGGTGGGCAGGAGCGCCATCTTCGGCGGGGAGCATTTTGTGCTGGAGGAGACCGACTGCTGGTGGCACTATGGCATCAGCTTCCTGCGGCTACAGATGTGGGTGGAGGAAGTCATGGAAAAGTTCATGAGGTAGGGCCGGGTGGGCTATAGGAGGGCCTGGCAGAGAGGAGAGGGAGAGGGCCGGGAAGAAACCAGCTTGGCCCTGAACTGTGGGAAAGGGACAGGAGCTCAGGCTCCCAGCACGTGTCTCACAGGAGGAACAGCCCTGTTTGGTGCAGGGGTGGTCTTTGGCACGTCACACCTGTGTTCACTCTTTCTGCTGTATTAATAAAAGCACGGTTGTAAACGCAGTCTCCTACAAGAGCCGGAGTGGGATGTAAGTCAGTGAAGCAGCAGCTGGAAGAGAACAGGGAGCGGTGGGGAGCAGGGTGTCCTGGAAAGCAAGGACCCCCAAAGGAGGCAGCCTCCACTCTGCTACTTCCAGCTGTGCCAGCCGTGTGGGAATGCCACACATGGGTCCGTCTGCCAGCTCTTTAAAAGAAGTTGGAAGTCCAGAGTTGTATGTAAAATCGTTCAGGTTTTCAATGTTTGAAACCAGTTCATCTTGTAAGCCTAATAAATCACATCGGAAAGCCAAAGGTGACCTGTGGGCTACCCGTTTGTAAATTTTGCTGGTCCCCAGTTCTCTAGAACAAATACCTTTCTTTACCATTCCCCTCCTCCTTGGGGTCTCGCCCGTCCCCGACACCTCCGGACACAGAGAACAAGTGGTCTGTGCTCACCCACCAAGCAGCACCCCACCTTTCCCCAAAGTGTCTCCTGCGGGCTCTCCCTGCCTCCGCCCTGGTGGTGTGTTCCTCCCAGCACTCAGGCAGGCCCTGTGTCCTCTGGTTCCTGGCACCTCCCCACTCCCTTCACACTTCTACAGCCATGCTCCCTATGGCACTTCCTGCCTCTGTGCTCCGTCCAAGTGTCCCCAGAGCTTGTGTGTCTACCCCTCTTTTGCCCCCTTTATATTTTCCTCCGTTGTCATTTTTATCCAGACCTGCAAGGTTGACATTTCCCTTTCAGGGAGATGACTTCCACCTGTCAGTTCTGGCTTCCCTTCAGTTCCAGACCCACATTTCTATCTGATTTCTGGCCCCTCCATCTGATGTCCCACTGATCGCTCAGCAGGTTCAAAGCAGCCCTGGCACAGGCAGCCTTTCAAAGCCCAGCCAGTTCAGAAATCCATCAACAGATGGTTCCAGACCTTGCCAGTCTCTGAGGCTGGGAGCGTGGTAGAGGGACAGATGTGCAATCGAGCTAGAGGAGGGGACAGGCAGAGCTAGCAGAGAGGGTGGAACTGTCACGAGGCTGCTGCCAGCAAGTCCAGTGTGGTCCTGGAAGCCAGAGCAGAGGTGGAGCCATTGGAGAAGGGCATGTGCTGGGAGCGTGGGCTGCAGCCCACCACCTGGCATCCTAGCCAGGTGAAAAAGGAGCTATGGAACAGGACCTCAGGCTGGGAAGGGTACAGAGAGGGCCTGTCATTGTCATTGAGCAGAGCCACTACGTGAAGTCAGGTCTAGTGGGATTTTGGACTAGATGGGAAGGCCCACACAGCCAGAGGACAGGTTGAGGGGGAATATAACCAGCCTCCTCCCCACCCCTCCATATGTAGAGGAGGTGACAGGTCCCTGGTAGCCCTCCCAGGTATAAGGCAGCCAAAACCTCTCTGCACGAGGACCCCAGCTTTGTCTGTCTCCTAGGATCTACAAGTACCAGGCCCATGGGTATGCGTTCTCGGGCGTGGAGGAGCTGCTCTACTCACTGGGGGAGTCTGCCTTCGTCAACATGACCCAGCGCTCCGTGGCTGAGTCCCTGCTCCAAGTGGGCGTCACACAGCGCTTTATCGATGATGTCGTCTCTGCCGTCCTGCGGGCCAGCTATGGCCAGTCAGCAGCAATGCCCGCCTTTGCTGGTGAGTATCCAGCCCTCAGTCTGCCCACCCGCTCTCTCCCTACTCATGGTGCCTAGAACAGGCGGAGGTCCCCGTAATCACCTCACTGTCTTCCAGCCCTTAGAGTTACCTAAGCACTTACCCTGTGCCCGTTATTGAGCAGTTTACAACAGGTGTGCACCCATCACCACAGTTGATTTCAGACATTGTCATCACCCCCCAAGAGAAACTCCATGCCCGTTAGCCAGTACCTCCCCCACATTACCAACCTTCCTGCCCTAGACAATCACAATCTGCTTTCTGTTTATGGCTGCACCTGTTGTGGGCTGTTGTAGGTGTCTGCAGAAGTAGGCCGCATGATATGTGGTCTTTGGAGTTGGCTCCTTCACTGAGCTTGTTTCCACTTCATTGCATCGGGAACCTTGGGTATTTGTTTGAATGTTTGTTGACTGCCTCTTTCCACGGTTGGGAGGAGTTTTACCCTGGCCTAGAGGCCCAGAAACATTCATGCCAGACTTTAGCCCTACTACCAAGTGGTTGTGAGCACCCACTGACACCTTTCCTGCTTTGCCCAGGCGCCATGTCACTTGCTGGGGCCCAAGGCAGCCTGTGGTCTGTAGAAGGGGGTAACAAGCTGGTTTGTTCTGGTCTGCTGAAGCTCACCAAGGCCAACGTGATCCACGCCACAGTGACCTCTGTGACCCTGCACAGCACAGGTGAGTGGACAGAGCAGGAGGTATGGCTGTGCCCTTTTTAGCCAGTGGACACTTCAGCCTCTCTACTGCAGCCCTGCTCTGTGATCTCTTGAATATGACAAGACCTCAAAAGGTTTGTGAGGAAAATGCAATTAAGGTATGAATTAATTTTTGTGCAGAAAAAAAGATCTTAAATGTATGCATGGTTTTTCATAATACACATGGTCCACAAACTTTTTGAAGATATCATATATTTCCCCCAAAAAAGCAGTTGGGGGGGGCTAGCAGGTGGCATGGTGGATAGGGGTGCTGGACTCCCACATGGCAGACCACAGTTCAAATCCTGGACCTGGCAGCTTGCTTTCTCACTTTGTCTCACTCTCTCACGCACTCTCTCACTCTCACTCTAAAAAAACCTTTTAAATTTAAAAAAAAAAAAAAAAAAAAAAACAAGGGGGAATCTTAACCCTTCCCACAGCACACACACTTCAAATGTCAACACTGGAAAGCTGAGACTTCCATCAGTCCAGCTCCTCCTTCATCTGACCAATGAAGACTTTGAGCAACAGACTTACCAGTCCTTTCCAGCTAGTCAATGGTGGAACCAGAGCAAGAATGTGGGTCTCCTGACCTTTGGCCCAGGACTCAGCTGCAGTCACAGCAGCATGGAGAGATGGACTCGCCTAGCCAGCCAGCATCAGCACCCTCAATGCTGGGCCCCAGATGTGAGATCAGTGGATACATGCCAGGGAATAAGTTGATTTTGTGCTGTCTTCTCTCTTCCAGAAGGAAAAGCCCTATACCAGGTGGGGTATGAGAATGAGGTGGGCAACGGCTCTGACTTCTACGACATTGTGGTCATTGCCACCCCCTTGCATCGGGACAACAGTAGCAGCAACTTCACCTTTGAAGGCTTCACCCCACCCATCGATGATGTCCAGGGCTCTTTCCAGCCCACTGTCGTCTCCTTGGTTCATGGCTACCTCAACTCCTCCTACTTTGGTTTCCCTGACCCTAAGCTGTTCCCCTTTGCCAACATCCTGACCACAGATTTCCCCAACTTTTTCTGTACTCTGGACAACATCTGTCCCGTCAACATCTCAGCCAACTTTCGGCGGAAGCAGCCCCAGGAGGCAGCTGTTTGGCGAGTCCAGTCCCCCAAACCCCTCTTGCGGACCCAGCTGAAGACCCTTTTCCGTTCCTATTACTCAGTCCAGACAGCCGAGTGGCAGGCCCACCCCCTCTACGGCTCTCGCACCACCATCCCGAGGTTTGCGCTCCATGACCAGCTCTTCTACCTCAATGCCCTAGAGTGGGCAGCCAGCTCTGTAGAGGTGATGGCCGTAGCTGCCAAGAACGTGGCTTTGCTGGCCTACAACCGCCGGTACCAG